GGTTGAGTGCCAATGATGAAATGCAAAACTTCTATCTAAATTGGTTCAATAACAAACATATTGAATTTTTTTAACGCTTTTTTAAAGCAGTTTTGGGATGTTTAAAGCCGGTAGTGAGAGTACTGAGAGCAGCACGGAAAAATTTCACTCTCGGCAGTTCTCAGGGTCTTATTTATAAAAATGAGGACTTTAATTAAACCTGAGAGTATGCAGCATTTACCAATATAACTGGAGAACTTACTTTCTGGATAATCCTCATATTATTCTGAGGATATTTTTCAAATTTAAAGAGGGATCATTATTTAGTCAAACGGAGGTTTTGTGAAAAAAAATTCCTCTTGATGATTCCGAATAGAAACGCTGAACTATTTCAATTTAAGTACTTCAAAAATCTAAGTTTTCAATAACTCTCGAGTTGTTGAGAGGAATCAAATTTTCACGGAGAAGGTGTTTCCATGGTAAAATTCGTCAAAATATCTAAGACACTGCGGTAACGTAGATTGAAGCCTCTCACAATTTTTGTATCCTAGCCTAATTCATTTCTAAACTTATTTTCCTAAACAATTTCGTTGTGGTCTCTAACATAGCATTTAATTGTAAACTGATACGTTGTCTGATTCTTAATGTCGGACAGAAAAAAGGCTGCGGAAGTTTCAGAACTCATATCCATTTAGGATGCATTCTGGGCTTCAAATCACTTGAAACCTCTTGGAGGTCAATTAAAGTAACTGCTCCCACTACAATGATGAGATTAATTCTCTTTCCTTTTCCAACAATTACAATCAGAAATTTGAAATACAGAAATGAAGTGCAAAGAAATTTTGACTTCAAAATAAATTCATTTTAAAATGAGCAGGGTTTTTAAAGATATAAGATTCCTTCATTCCTGTTCAGCTATGAAAAATAATAAGAAGACGATGAAATTTCAAACTTATTCAGTATGTTACAAACTGAATCATCAAAAACTAAGAGAATAAAGTTCTAACCACTTTTCTGTTTTTAATTAATTATTTATGCTTCCCTGCAAAATTTTGCTTCACAGAAAAAGGGTGTCATTACTAGGAGAGCACTATACTGGGTCCTTTCCACTCTCTTGTAAAATTTTTTGAAAGCACTTGGCTTTGCGTTTTTTGATTGATTGAGATGATGAGGAATTTGACAAGTTCTGTGCACAAAAACAAAAACTTGTAGTGATTAAAACTAATGATAAAGAAAGTATTTTTCTGTTGTAATTTGAATTTCACTGATCAAGATGATCGAGAACTTATTCCAGCATTGACTATATCCCTCAGAGGATACAGGAACATCACTCACTGTTTTGGGATTCCCTAAATTGCTATTCACACATGCTTCAATCTTTAGTTGGCTGTTATGTTTTATTGCATTGAGATGACTGCTAGCAGCACTCAGCAATTTTACAATACTACAATTCAAAACTTTACAAGGAGTTTTGAAATTCTGAATAGAAAAATCAGGCTTACGAGCATTTTAAGAGACGACAAAACAATTTGTGTGTTCTTAAGGAATAAAATGGAAACTTCCTCTCCTTAGAGCTTCATTCTCAGCTTCTGAGATAAAAAGTTAAAGTTATGATGTACAAGTGATGATATTGGACGTTTCAAAAGTCTTTACCTCAAAAGAAATGGAAAAACTGATCTGCCGAGCACTTGTGATTTATCTGCATTTCTAGAATCAGTGAAAATTCGAGGAAAAGAAAAGAAAGGGGAAAAACCTCTATTTTGGTACCAATAAGTAAACAAATGGAACCAAAGAACCTAAAGTGCCCCAGACCAACAATAGGCACTTGAACATAGGATCATATTAATTTACTCTGTTTTAGAAATTAATATTATTCTGAATACAATTTTTTTAAATGACTCAAACTGAACAATGAAATTAGGAGAAATGTTTTTAAAGAGGAATTACATATTTGTCATAAAACTAAGTTTATAGAGGCCTAAAACTGTACATCAAACGTATGGAGGATGGTAAGCTGGAGATTTTGACTATGTCCGTTCGATTTTATGGTTTATATACAGCTATTAGAGTTTAACAGTAAATAAAAGTACTACAAAAACAAACAAAAAAATATACATCTTTTAACAAAAGTTTTATGATACATCATATTTTATAAATTAAGTTTCCTCATTTAAAGGAAAGACATGCATAAATGCAAAACCCAGTAGTGCTTTACAGAGGATCTTTGAAAGGTAAAGTAAGATTGGCTTAGCATACGATTTTGGGGAAACTCCTTCAAATTGTGCATTGACCGTGGAAGTTTCTTGTAACTTTAACTTTTAAGCGCTTACCGAGCTTCTAATTTAAATTGAAAGTCTGGGGGAGTTAGAACAAATTTTTGTTGGTGTATGCATCTTAATCTCAAATTCCAGTTCACTAAAATATGATTGCTATGTTTAAAACCAGCCAAGCCAGGTAAACCAATACTGCCAGAACTCAAAGTCAAAGCATTATTGCTCTTCAAGTTCGTCTGTTGAGTTGTTTGGCCGTTTGAATTAAAATAAATGGGAACAGCTCATTTTTGCTACCTTTGGAAAATTCAATAGCTATTGGAAAGAGTCTTCTCTTCTGGACAACTGTTTAGTTACAGGTTGGTGATCATACTATCATAGCTATACTAACGTCATGACTACATTAAGCAGAGGAAAAAGTCTCATTTAGAGTACAAAAATCTCATTTGGAATACAGTTGCCCTCGATAAGTTAGGCTGTTTGAATAATCGCTTACAAAATGGTATGCTGGTCTCAGCGTCCGCTTGCCCACTCTCAGTAAGGTTTTAAAGACCTCTCTGTGAGTGTCAGCAGAAAATCAGAAAGCTGCACTGTACTGATGATGGCTCCAAATAGAGCCAAAACGCGTCCACAGTTGCTTTCTGATTGGAAGAATTCTGAATTTCTGAATTTGCAAGTGATGTTGCGCCAAACAGCATATCTCCCTGAGGGAAACTGTACTCAAAATGAGACTTTACTCTCTCTGATGAGAATACTTTGCGTAATGCAGAGTGATGACAATCATGGCATAGCAACTCATTCCCATTATGGAACATACGGTCGTAGAATCTAGCCTGATAAATAGGATGAAAGGGTTAAGAAATGCCTACAGCTAGAAGTTCCTTCTTCCTACACTTTTATCTTTTTTTATTTAAAAACACAAAAGCAAATATAAGACACAAAGACTGCGCTTTTTTTGACTTTTTAAAAAACTCCATGGCAGAGGAAAGAAAAGAATCTTCCTCAGTTCATACAAAAATGATCAGAAGATGCAAAATTCAAGAATAGCCAAGAACTCAAAAATTTAAAAAAAGATTACAAGTACATTCAAGCACTATTCATGGGTGAAAAATGGCATTCTGGCATTTAATTAATTGACCTGGAATCTGAGTATCTGTTTGAAATGCATTGGTAAAACGTCAAATCCTGTTAAATTATGTGATCATGTCTTGTTTGTTGCAGAATTGTCTATTTTGATGTATAAATACCAAACTTTACCAATCTTTAACTAATCACACATCTAAAACACTATTTATGAATGCAGCGATAAGTTGCAATTCATCGCAATAGCAAGTTGATTTGGTATTAGGCAAAAAAAATGCAACAGATTTCCAACGAGTGGATGTAAAAATAGGCGTTTGATTAGTACAGAAAATAAGTATAAGGCCAAGTTTCATTTGTTAACATATTTTTGCATACTGATGTGTTTACATGAATATCTTCGTTTTTAGAAAACGTACGAAAGCTTGAAATATACAGGAGTTCAAATGAAAAATGAAGATAAAAAAGAAAGGAGAGGGAAAGGATATGGGAGACATCTAGGTAGGAATCAATTTTTTTCAAAGAATTCTTACTGTCTGAGAGGTGAAGGAAAACATGAGCAAGGATGCAAAAACTTTTTTACCAAAAGCCATTCCCATTAGTGACAAAAAAATTAAAGATTAGAGGAAATTTCATTTTTTTCATAAATAAAGTAAGAAAAATACTTAAACTCATGACTAAAGGGTTCAGGTATAATTGATAAACGGCATTACTGAACAGACACAGAGATCACTAGCAAATTTCAATGATTCATTTGGGTAAAAGGAAGAATAGCTACAAGCAGAGCTTTGGACGCTTACTGGCTACTTAAAAATACCTGACTCCTAGGTTCAAGTACACAGTAAGTAATGAGCTCTATTATTGAGAGTGGGGAAATAGCAATGATTAATCATGAACTTCTTCCCCATGATGATTTGCTGCAGATGCTACATCCATACCTATTCTCCTTACCCCATGGTCATGAGTAATTGAAAATGTGAAGAGTAGATGAAGAATCAATAGCTAAAATTACATAAAGTGTAAGTGAAGCAATGAGGAAAGTGGGAGCAAAGAAAAAAAATTAAGTGATTTTCATGCATGTTACAGCTAAATGTAAAAAAAAAAGAAAAAAAGATAAGTGGTCACATGATAACTGGACCGATTGTTATCATTTTTTCTATTTGACTTTTGAGCACTATTGGTGCCTCTTATCTTGAGGATAATATAAGCCTCGTTTTTCCCTCATCAAATAGAGCCAAACAAAGCAACACGTACAGCAAATCGGCTCTGGTAAATTTTTAGTGAGTAGAGGAACCAGAACGATGGATGAGCCTTGGAACTCAAACTCAAAAAAATACCTTGGTGAGATCAACTGATCTGCTTGGATAATGAAAGGTTGTAGAGGAAATTTTCGATGATAAAATAAAATAATTCACGTTATCATGGGTTTCGGCTGTTTGTTTGGACCTTGCTGCCTAGCATTATAAACCAACCCAGCCGTAAACTACGTTGAAGTTTTGTGAGCATCTCTTCAAGACTATCTATATGTTAAATTTTCATGAGCCATGAACAATCTTCAATTTTTCTTATTGAAGGAAAGAAATAACTGAGGGAAGACAGTCCAAGAAGTAAAAATAAAGAGAGGAGTAAGCCCAAGGGGACTATCAAGATAAATTATCCTGGAAAACTTACGCAACAAGCAGATGCTTTTTTCCGTACTGTATTCGAAGCATCGTCGGAATCATCTGCATCATCGTCACCTGATCTTTCCATGAAAGATCTATTATTTTTATCTCGGTTCATTTTACTAACCTGCAAAAACAAACAAAGCTGAATTAATAAAAATTCTATTTTGGTAAACAAACACATTCACAAAACATGAAGTAGTCGTGAAGTAGTTGGCAGTAGTCCCCACCGCACAAAGCCTTGTGATTGAAGCAACAACAGTAAGTTATTACAATACTTCTTTGGGTGGAGTGACTTGAAGTCCACAATGTGATTAAAAATCTTGAACCAGAATTATTATAAACGACATTCAGTTGTTTTAAATAAAACTCAGATTGAGGAAGTTGTGAAGAAAATGGTTTGGCATTGATATACATTTGTTGATCCATATTCAGGGAGCCATTTGTGAAATGGTGATAGATTGGTGACCTCTGGTTGTCTGTAAAGTTTTCTCTTTTTATTCACTTTGTAGTGACGAATCTGGCACTTGATCGGGTGCCTTCTGAACACTTGGCTCATGAACTTATCCTTACAAATTAAATTTATTTGTATTTAGCTCCCATTCAGAGATGTACCATTAAGAAGTGATTGAGGAAAAACTTATGTTGAAAAAGTAGAAGCTCCTCTCTATCACCAATTCAAAATGGCAGTCTGATAAAGTTGAAATTTTCAAAACTATAAACAACTACTATTTTAGAACCTGATTTACTGAAACACCGAGTGGATTAGAATTATTAGCGGTTGGAATCATAAAATGTTTTCTTACATTCTCTTAGAAACAATGTTCCATGAGAGGAAGGTTGCATTGTGAAAATTCCAATTGCCTCCCAACTCTGCCCTCAAGGGGGCGGGCAGTGGATTACCTTACAAAGAATGGGCTACCCAACTAAATGTTTTCCTGAGCCCTCCATGACTGAATTACTGATTTCCTACTCTTTTTCCATGAAACATTAATACAGTTCTAGGCTCAGCGAAAAGTGATATCTGCACCTAATATTTTCATGCATCAGTTGAAATGATGTCAAATGTGGAGTTAGGGGGCTTTCGCCTAGAACATAATAACATTTTTTGTACCTGAGATGCTTTCTAATGATCCGAGTTTCTTTCTCATTTAAAAAAAAAAAAAAAAAAAAAAAAAAAAAAAAAATCCGCATTATACTACGCCGAATGCGTGAGCCTCATATGACACTGCTATTAATCTAATGAACAGACGTTTGAATAAAAAAGTCATAAAATGGAAATTAATTTTCCAGAAATATACGAGCTGTAGAGAAAAATTCTGAGGCAAGGATCTGCTTGTATTGCAGGCTCTATGACCCCACCTTCATACCGCTGGATGTAGAAATTGAAACCCCCCCCCCCCGCGAAAAAAATTTATCTCGACTTAAGGGGCGAAGAGGCAAACCCGACTTCTTTGGCTCAGACCGTTCTTGATTTGGCTGCCTGAGGACTTTTGAAATAGACAGTACGTTCTTTTATGTTCCAACTGAGTGAGGAACATTTTTCCAGGTGATAGGAAGAGCATCAAATAATTTATTTTAATCGATTAGTTGCCCCAAACATTTAATGGTGTTCGGTGGATGAAGTCTTTTGATTTACAAAATGTGATGAAAGCTTTTTAACCGCCAAGTTTTCACGTTGAACATCAACGGATATCGATGGCCGAAGTGCGAAACCACGTGCCTTCATTGCGGTGTTTCAAAATTTCCGTACGTAGTTTATTTTTTCGTGCCGATCAGCGTAATTTCCCAAAAGTCCTTAGTCCCTAAAAATGCAGCTCTGAATTTAGCTCCCCAGACTTGCAAATTTACGCAAAAATCGCCGCATTTCAACTCATTCTCCGAACAATAATGTCGGAACTCTTGCATGCATCGACGATTAGCGATCAAATTACTGCGGTGTTTCAACATTTCCGCTCCTATTTTATTTTTTCGAAGGAAAACAAGTCAACTTTATGGCTTGATGCTCATCCAGAGTATTCTGCTAAATAGAGAGGAAAACTCAGGGAGGTTTTTGCGAAATTACGTTAACTAATTTTCCGAGGAAAAATAAATTATGAGAGGAAGTCTACGGCGCCGCAAACGGAGATACGTGTTTTCGCACTTTGGCCATCGATGCATCACTTTTATGGGAACGCGCGCACTCCATCTGCCGTGCTAAGGAAAAACGCCGTATGAGCCTTCAGGCGTTGCTAAATTTTCCCAGGTAAATCACTAACTTTCAGGAAAATTTTTGAATGTTTGTTTACCAATTTCTCAGATAATTTTGTTTGTGATTTGATCTAAAACGTCTAAAAATTTCAAGGTAAAATATCCATAATTTTCCGCGAAAATAAACCTCTTATCGAAAAAAATTTGGAGACTCTTGAATTTTCATACGGCGTTTTTCCTTAGCACGGCACTCCTGGCAACACGTCTTTTGAATCGGATTTTCCGTAATTATTGCGATGAAATAAAAATCTTTGCACTACGCGTAGTTTGTGGGCGGATGAAAAAATCATGGTTTCAGGCTGCGTGAAAGGCATGGTGCACGCATAATTTTTTGCTCGTCATTGCCCGAAAATCGCTCTGTTTCGAACTCAACACTTCAGAACTCTTCGCGGGAGGACCCCCTTCTACTGGAGGAGTTCCATTGGCCCCAGACACCCCCCTCCCCCTACAGCGGACGTCCGCGCAGAACGACGAGTTTGCTCCCGATGCAAAAATCCCTAGTGACAGCATTAAGAACGCTGAGTTCTTCCAAAGGGTATTGATTATTCACCAAGATGTATATCAGATGACTTTCAAAAAACAATCAAATCAATGAGATCCTCGTAATATTTAGGGTATTGTGCAGTCACATTTTGCATTTTGCAAGGTACGCAGCGGAGAAGCGATGACAAAAAATATAAGTTGAAAAAGAATTTCTGGAGCTGGATGCTCATTGTCGGTTTAACATTTCCGTGTTTGATGTCACTCTGTGTTACTTTTTTCTGTGTCAGGTCAACCTAGAGGACTTGGTTGCTCAGCACGATTTTGCGTTAAATCGACCCAAACCGTAGGCTTCTCTGAGACATCGGATCATGAAGAGAGTGTTCAGGTCTCGATCAGTGTTCGAAACTCACCTTGGAGTTTTAGGAGCCATGTGGCGCATCAAGCCCGATTTTTAGGCGCCATTGAAGATTTCTTAGGGGCCAAATTGACTTTTTGCCAATATATTACGGCGCATTTAGTGAACAGTTAGATGCAATAAGTTTTCGTAATAGAACTAGTAAGAAGCTGTAACTTGGGGAAGACAAAAGCACTTAGGATGAACTCGTGAAGAATAGAAAAAGCTTTCACTTGTAGTGCTGAAAATTTCAAATTATCACCTAATATGAAAATTCAGATTTTTAGGGGCCACGTTGGCGCAGAACCTTCATTTTTTAGGCGCCATGACCGATTTTTTAGGCGCATTTGGCGCGTTGGCGCCTGTGAGTTTCGAACACTGGTCTCGATACACGATAAAATTCCCGAACCAATTACGATCAAAGTGTCGGGAGTCATCAGTCTTAAAATCATTAACTTTGCTTACTTTAAAAAATGAAAACTTGGCAGAAATGCTTCGTGCGGCAGGAAATGATGAATGGTGACACTCCATTCTGATCAAAATTTGACGGACCAAAATTTGATCAAAGAGGACTGTTGCATGGTGATCATCAGCCATCAACTCGTCTACTTTGAACAGAATTGGTTCGGAATTTGATCGTGTATCCAGACCTTGAGGTCCAGTCACACGATCAAATTGAGCCATCTAATTGGGCCTCTCATTGGACGCATCCTCACCTCAGGTATTTTTCCACCAATCAGAGCTTCAGTTTGATGGCTCAATTTGATCGTGTATCAGAGGTCGCGACTTGCGAGCGCATTGGACCATCGCCGATGCAGTCCAAGTTCGATCCTGAAGGCAACTGACTAAATTTTAACGAGGTCGCGGATTTACAACACCAAGATTTAGTCGATTTGACACAGAAAACTAGTATAAGAAATATCAACCGAGATTTTGTGTTACTTCGGGTATTACTTCCTATATTAACACAACATTTTGGTTACTTTTTCTTACGGTGTGGGCATCACTATCCCACCATAAATTTCAGGACTGAAAAAAAAAAAGATCAATATACATGGAAATTTTTTTTTGTTGAGAAATCATTAGATCCACTGAAGCCAAAATCAGTCGTTTATAATTTTATAATTGCGGATGGAAATGTTAAGATATGACAGATCTATAGTTATCCCAGGTCACATCAAGAGGCACGGTAAGGAGAGCTGTAGCTCAGTCGGGAATGATCTCAATTCGGAATTAAGAGTCTCGTGAATCATGGTTCGAGTCCACTAGAGTCCCTTTATACTGAGAGTCAAGACAATTCGGCTCATGGATGTCACAAACGGGAATAAAGATTACAGAAATTGAACGTTTTTCGTAATCTTTGATCGGCCCATTCTCAAATGCCTTTCTCCGTTCCTCCTCTCATTCCGTTTGTTCCTTGCCGAACCCGTAATTCCCTGGTCCATTCCAGATTATAATCTTTGCAATTGGTGAAAATGTAATCTTTATTCCCGTTTGTGACACTGTGGAGGCCTAAAATACGGGAACCAATCAGAAATGGATTCAAATTGTCTTGACTCTCAGTATAAAGGGACTCTAGAGTCCACAGGCTTTTGTAAAATTTTTCATGCCTGTCATTTACATTTTAGACTAAGCATCAATAAAGTATTTTCCATGAAATGTATGAATAGGGTTAATATGTCAATGAAAGATCTGTGTGTTGTAGAGAAAATTTCACTGCACACTGTTTTAGGTACGACACAGAATGTTTTAGATATTACACCGAGTTAATTTCACTTGCACTCTATTCCCTATTTGTACTCTGACCTAGAACTTCACTCCAAAATTTCTGTGCGGCAATGCATTTCTCCGCGTATTTTTTTCCTTACCTCATAATTTGATGCACATTCAAACTAATAAACTTCGTACACGAATCAATGGCGCGCCTTATCAACACACAGTGCTGGAGTTCACTGCTTGTTTTACTTTTCTCCCGGATCAAAGCAACACCTCATCGGTAG